CCGGTTTTTCCAACCCTTGGAACTTTGAAGTTGCCGGGCCTTCACCCCCCAGAATCCCCCGGCCGGCGAATGCGGGCTGGGGAATTCTGGGAGTTGAAGTCCGGACATCTTCAAGTTACCAAGGTTGAGAAACACTGGTTTAAATTATTATCTTGCCTAAGGACCTATGACCTAGAACTAACACAGAGCTTTCTAACACTGGAGCATTACTCCAGAATGCCTTGATAACCTTCTGGTTTTCTTGTGCTTTGCTCAGATTCAAAGCACTCAGTGCTGGAGTTAGCAAAGCAACCCTATAACATTAGGGAGTGTTCTCCATGTTTTACAACAGGGATGGTGTTTTTGTCCTTAAAGACATTGTTTTCTTCTTCTTCTTCTGTGAACCTAGAGCTGCTGTGACCTATCTAAAAGCTCCACTTTTGTTTCATCTGTCCAAAATCTGTAGAAGGACTGTAGCGTGTCAACATGCATTTTATCAAACTCAAGTCTGGGCTTTTTGTGTCTGTCTTTCAGACATGAGATCTTCTATCATGAAGGCCATTTTCACTCAGGCAGTGTTGGATGGTACAACTCAATATTGTTGTACAGGTAGTCCTCAACTTACAACAATTCATTTAGGGACCCTTCAAAGTTAAAACGGCACTGAAAAAAGTGTCTTATGAGTGTTTTTCAGAGTTATCGCCTTTGCAGCATCCCCATGGTCATGTGATCAGAATTCAGATGCTTGGGAACTGGTTCGTACATATGAAGGTTGCAGTGTCCCCTTTTTTCGACCTCTTGACAAGCAAAGCCAATGAGGAAACCATATTCACTTAACAAACAAATTACTAACCTATCAACTGCAGTGGTGCACTTAACAGCAGAAGCAAGAAAGGTAAATGGGGCAAAACTCATTTTGAACTCAATTGTCATAAGTTGAGGACTGCCTGTACCTTGATCTTGGTGGTCAGCCACAATCTGTTCTGAAGTTTTCCTTGGTCCTTTCTCCCACCAGTCAATCTTTCTCTTGATATCGGGATCAATTTTCCTCTTGCAGCCACATCCAGGGAGGCTGACTACCTGACTCCCATGGACTTTAAACTTATTGATAATATTCACATCCAAGATCACAGGAACATGAAACTGTTTGGAGATGGTTTTGTAGCCTTTCCCTTTACCATGCTTGGCTATTATCTTCCTCCTCAGACGTCTCCCTACTTTCATTTTCCTGTCCATGTTCACTATGCTGTACACAACGACACAAAATGCCTGAGTATTTTGCTCCATTCAGATAAGCGGAATGACCGATATGAGATTGAAGACATCTGTGATACTACTTAAAATAAGTAGCTTCTTTGAGAAGTCACTAAAATCCAATGTCTTTTAAACTTTTAAGGAATATCAATCATTATGTCCATGGCATTTTCATTTTTTTAAAATTACTTACAAGAATAAATTGAATCCTCTTGGGATTATAATTATTTTTAAGAAGCTGCGGTTCACATTGCATTTAAGAAAAAAAAATCTATTAATTCCAACAAACTTGTATCTTTTTTCTCTTATAGTTGAATTCTCCGTATACAGCTGAATGACATTCAGATACTGAAGATTTTGAAATGCAAATGAACATGTTTGTATGTATTAATATGTGTTTATAAGAGAATGTTCTTCATTTTCCTATACTGTAAATATATTTTCCCAAGCGATATACAGAATTCTCATCTTGATTGTAACTCCTAATTTGCTTAAAAAAATATTTGATCTGGTTCAGATGTTGGTTTGACATGGCTAGAATGAATCTCATATATTGTACTATTCAAACTTTCATTGATATAACTAGGTTGAATTCGCATATCACACAAACTCTAATGTTAATTTAATCTGATTTATCATGTATATATTGAACATCACATTAACCAAAATTTTGTTCCATGGATCTATCCACTTGTGGCTTATTCAATTAAGATATTTTTCATTTCCAAAATTTAGATATTAGAGAAATTGATTTATTCAAACCTGAAAATAAAAACATTATTTCATGTGTGAAGAATAGGAAGTGAGATACCCAAGTTACTTAAATGCAAGATTAATGCAATATTTTCATAGTTTAATAGTTTAGGTCAGATGCTTAGTCCAATCCACACACAACAAAATTAGGCTTTTTCAATATATCCTAATTTTTTGTGATAGTTCAATATGCTTTTATACCAAATTGTTTACAAGTGACAAAGTTTCAAGACAGCATATTATGGAAATTCAACAGCAGTGTGATTGAAAGTGAAACATCATCATATTGTAGATTTGTATTTAAAGCCAGGTTACTGTAATAACAAAATTAAATTAACAGTCATCTGAAATCCAGAGCGGAAACTAGATAATCCCTAGATTATCTAGTTTCCTCAGAAAGTGATGTTCCTCATCAGGAAATGAAATTCTTCCCAATATTTTAAACTTGTGTACATGTTACATGATTATGCTATATTTTTCCAATGCTGTTGCACAAAAATCTGATTTTATATAAACACTTTCTAACTTTATTTATTGAGTTACTTGTTTGGTTTTTTTCGCTTGCTTATGATGTTTATAGCTCTCCAATCCACCCATTCTTACAATTCCCCACTATATATAAAAAAAATTACAATCACATAATGATTCTGTAGAACTAGGAATGACAGGAATAATTGAGATAATAGTACACTTCCCAGTTCAACATGAGACACCCTTAATTACTTACCTGTAACTCCAAGAACACCCTCTAATTATGGGTTTCTTAACATTTTAAGGAACACTCAAACTAGTGCAAGCTTATCTTTCTTTAATTTTTACAAAAAAAGAAAATCCCAATTACTTCTCCCCACCACCACCACCAAGCAGGTTATACTTTTGAGCCTTTCTCCTTCTCACTGTGCTACCCTAACTCAAGGTTAGCTACCATCTTTAGAGAAAAGCCACTCTAGCAAAGGGGGGGGGGTGTCTTCATTTGATTTTATCACAGGTCATTTTACTAGTCTTTGCAGAGGCTGTCTTTATGAGACAATAAAGATCATTTTGAGGGGTGAAGTAAAGAAGGGAAGCAACCAGGGGTGGGTTTCTCGCCCCGTTCCAACCGGTTTGGTTGGAACGGGGCCGGCGGCGTCCTCGTGCACGCACGCGGTGCACGCATGCGTACTAGC